AAATTCATATTCATGAATTATAAAAGCAATGTCTGTGCTCAGAAAAGCAATCAGATAATACACTCATATGCCTGACACTTACCTCTTCCGAGAGCTCCCCAAATACCGTTAGAACATCTATCAGGAGACTGGCAGTATAAAAGGACTTTATCATGTTTCTGGAAAAAAAGAAAACGTTTTGCTAACTTGGTAATGCCAGTCTCTCAAAACCGTATTTTTGAACTTGTAATTTTAGATCATACTGGCTTATTTCAAGCCAAGTACCACTATTTTTTTTCTTTTAATCTGATCTTACAGAAGTTACTTCACAACATTTAAATCTAGCAATATATTGGTTAGTCTCCTAACTACTATGCAGAAAATGTTCACTATTTTTTAAAATTGGTCATATGTTCTGCACTTAGTTTCTAGTTTGGAATGCTCTGTGTAGAACATAGGAAATCCTGCATTAGCTTAGAAAAATACATGAGCAGGAATTGCTGGAAACCAAACCACATAATGGATCATCACTATTTTACTATCACTGGTCAATAGAAACTATAACATAACATGCTTTATGTAAAGAAAGCACCGTATTAGCCTGTGATTTTAGAAGGCTTGCTAGTAGGTGAGCAAACTCCTACGGAACATAAGGAAGATACCAGTTAATGTGTGAAGTTAGACCTGAAAGGAATAACAAATCAAATTTTCCACAAGATTAAAGAATGTATTAAAGCCCAATTCTTGTTTCCAGTCAAATTAAAGAGTTTGGACATTCACATTCCTTGACCAGCATCTTAATACAGATAAGAAAGCCAAAGATTTTCACCTACTTATGAAATTGCCCAGCTCTGTCTTCATTGTCTGCATACAAAAACATTTTCAAGGCATAATTCTCCACATGAGCAGAACCAACAATTTCCTGAGTAATTGCTTCATTATCACCAAATTGCTTTTTCATCTGAAAAATGTTGGAAAAATACATTAACAACTTTATTAGACCACAGCAATTTTGCAAACACAAAAAGAACCTGCTGATTTAAACAAAGTCAACTACAATTTAAAAAGAAACAACTTACACTTTGTTTTACATATCTACAGCTTCTAACATAACAAATGCTAAAAGCATCATGTGAAAGACAAAGCACATTCTTTTGGAGAGAGAAATATTGTGAACAAGTAGCTCTGAATCTTCAGCCACAAAATGCTTATAAAAACCACTGAAAATCCCCAAAATTTTAAAAGTAAACACAACTACAATACTGTGAAGGAATAGCAAAACATACATTTTCCCTTAGTATCTGAAAGACCAAGCACTTTGAAGCCTGTGTCAGGATTCAATACTTTCAATTCAATACAATTCAATACTAATGCATGCTTTATAAAGGTGCTGTAGATCAGAGTGATCATGTATCTTCCCTCTTCTAAGTTTATTTCACTGCAGTTCATTRCATCTTTCCAAGTATCTGAGTCCTACCTTGACCTATCTAGGGACCTATGGATTTACTGGAATTTTCAGTGTAAGCAGTGTTTTTCCATTCAAAGACCTCTTTTCAAAGTTGTTAGAGAACAAGAATCCTCAGGTTTCCTAATAAAAATCAGTAAAGCAAATAACTCTTAACAGTTACAACAGGTGGATTTAGAGCTTCTGAATAGGCTTACTGTTTGCACATAAGGAAATCTCAGGTTATCCTTAGAGAACAAAAACAGGAACACTGCATGATACTAACCCACAGTCTTTATTTTGCCAAAAGATGTAAAAACAATCTCTGAGTAGTTGTTATTTTTCACTGTGCGTGCGAAGAAAATTTAATCGTGCAGGCAGCATTTCCATATTTTTAGATTGCTGCCAACTTTACAAGAAATAGAATGTAGCCAGAAAAGTTACTTGATTTTCGTAGTTAAATATAAGCTTTCCAAATAGAATTTTAATTTAAAGGCTTTAATCAAACTATTCTATAGTTTCCATAAAGCATTTGTTTAACAAAGTGTAATTTTCTTGTGAAAGTACCAAAATTTGTAAGTTCAAATGCAACACTGAAGCTAACACTGGAAGAAAGCTGTTTGTATAAACATCTATTTCCCCAACATATCTGTATACCTCACACTCAGAACACAACTGATTACTATACCTGATCTGATGCTCAATTATTTCAAACACACAACTGACACYGTTAAATACACTCCKAAAAGTAGKACAATTAACCAACTTGTTTACTTTKAAAATGATCCTTCACACAATCTGTGATTCAATACAGCAGTAGTGGCAATAATTTTACATGTTGATACAAAATTTCAACCTAAAATCTAGGCATTTACGTTTAATTTTACAAAAATAGCCAAACTCAATGAAACAACAATAGCAACAAAAAACATTTAAATGAAACAGTTACACATTGGAAAAGCAAAACAACACAATGGTAAGTAAAAATATTTCTGACAGAAACATGCATTTTAGAAACAAAATCACTGTATTTAATTCACATATTTGGGACATTTCTTGCAAAAAGCACACCTGCAAATTTCCAGCTCTGTCTACACATAGTTTATTCTAAGCTATGATGAAGCTCAGGATGAGCTGCTGTTGCACCCATGAAAACCGATGGTGGGTACGATCGTGCGGACGCGCGGGAAGTGCAGACCCGCCGCGCCCCCCTCGCCCCCTGGTGGTTATGGGCAGACGGGAAACGGCAGCCACTAAATTACAGCAGGGGTTCAACTTTTCCATAAACCCAAACTTACCAGCCCCAAAACTGCTCTATTATGCTTGTTTAGAGCTGCTCTCTCCAACTTCCCACCACCTGGATACACAGAAGAATCTTCAATACCTGTGTATCAGTTGTCACAGACAATCTTACCAGCAACCAAGGGGTGAAACCGGATTTTTGCTGCTTTTTTAAGTCTTTCCAATTTTGAAACAGAAGGGGCAACTGAATGCTGCAGATTAACTGCTGCAGTACCATAAGTAATCCAGCAAATTCCAACAATTCTTACGAAATGACGAGCAGAATCTGAGTTTTATAATCTCACCTCTCCTGCCATCTCCCTCTCCCTTTGAACACAAAACCCAGACTCATTCAAGATATCAAAATCTAATGAAATAATACACCAAGAAGTCACTGAACACGGAATTTCCCATTGCAAAAATCAGTGATAAGAAAAGCAAGTAGAACAAGGTATGGAAAAAAAACCCCACAAATGGTCCATGTTTTGWTTTTTTCTGAAGAATCACRGAATGGTTTGGGCTGGAAAGCACCTTAAGAGTCATCTAGTTCCGACTCTCCCGCTGTGGACAGGGATGCCATTCACTAGATGAGGTTGCTTGGGACCTATCCAACCCGGCCTCGAATACTTCTGTGGATGAACCATCCATCTTTCATAACTGAAGGCTGTTGCACTAGTTTCACACAAACTCTTCAGGCATTTCTACATTTTGGATGGAACCACCAATACTGAACAAAAAAAGAACTGCTGYTTTATTTTTCAAGATTACTTTCTGCTTCCAAATGAGCACTTAAGACCTCAAAATCCACCAACTTCTTCCTTGGAGAATATGAAAACTAGAAGGCATGAACATAAACAGCTCCCAAAACCTGAACTGACCATCTGTACAACAACTTTACCTTTCTTTGCTTAATTCTATTCTATTTAAGGCTTTTTAATAGTATCAGGTCTAYTCAGAAGCGCACAGCGTTTCTATCCCTTACCCACACAGATTAGACTGTGCTTACAAAAATTCCTGAAATAAAATCTCTAATCTSTAACACAGCATACTGAAGAATATTTTTAAAAACTTCCKGGACATAACAGTTTAGGTCAAAAATTTCAAAAGCATACAAAGACTAGRCTATCAAGTCCTACAGCAGTGAAAATAACTCTACAGACTTCAAGGAATCAAAGGCAAATCAATTTAAAGGTCCTCTAGAACACCTGCATTTACTTCATAATGAATTATGATTTGTCATGAGACTGTGTGAATAAAGCTTTGTAATTGATGCTGTCTACACAAAATCTGTGGTAAAAATTCAATTACATTTGTGCATGTATATACACATACAGCTTTATCTCCCCCCAAACCTTTTGTGATTTATTACATACAATTGAAGTTTACACAGTATGCTTGCATGCAGAATAGCTGCAGGGAAGAGACAGTATTTTCCAGAAGTTTAAATAAAAATTCCATTAATATGATTTTTATTGAGGAAAGCAATAAATTCTACTTACRGCTTCCAATTGATCCATAAGTTTGGATAGAAATTTACGGCATTCTGGGGTTTTACTATCAATCTTCATCCCTGTTTGCATTGCATACAAACGACCTTGAAATGATACAAAACACACAAAAAACACTGAAAGTGATTATCTCCGGCGAAACCCATAAGTAAACAAAACAATGCCCCCCAACACACCTGAAAGACAAACTCACGAGTAAATCATGTACTGACTCCAGTATGAGTGAGCAGTGATAGTGGAAGGTTATTTTTTGGTGTTGCAGAGATACTAGGAGATATTTTTAGAAGATTTACGCTTTATTTTTCCCCAATGACTATTTCTGCTCATTTCAAGCTGATGTTTGCTTCACTGTTATGCAATATTAAGTGCTTTTATAGATTTCCCCCACCCTCATTTGCAACTCTAATAGGAATTTCAAGTTGATTGAGAGAGTACATGGATATAAATGTAACTTAACACAGCAGGAGTCAGCCTTAAAACACTTGAACAAATGTATTAATGGCATCTTCTATCTCATGTACCTGCATACAAAACATCAAAACTCCCAAGACACAAACCTGATCTTTAAAGCAGACAAGACAGACTTTATTGAATTTCCTTGGAACCAGAGTTGCCAGTTTTTAGTAAGATCTTGAAAATGAATGATTAACATCTTCTGATTAAAAACTGTATTTTGACTACCAAAAATCCATGAATTTTAGATTTGCACATGGCAGAACTTTATAGGCTTCATGAAACTGGGCAAACCCAAGCAAGTATAATTTACTATGATTAACATACACCAAGAAGGGAAAATGGCCAGAAACATCCAGTAATCAAATGCAGAACATTTTCTACTAAAAAAAAAAACCCAAACATTTCTCTAACTTTCAATTCTGACTCTCAAGGGAGCCCCACAAAACACTTTCAAATGCAGTTTAAGAATCAAAAGTTGTAACTTCACCAAGTATTATCATGAGGTAGTTATTATGGAATACCCCATGTCCTTCTTGCAGGACACAGACTTCTGCAAGTGATCGTTACTTGCTTCACAGCAACATCTCACTCCTCTCAAACATCTCTTCATACACTAGAGAACCTTCAAATAACCTCAGTAACACATGAATGTAACACAATTGTTATCACAYTGCACCTCTCCTGACACTTGCTGCAGAAGAAAACATTATATGCCCAAAAGCTTGTCTGCTTTTCCCATCKATTAGCAGTTTGTCTAATAAAATTAGGTACCTTTCTACAAAACTTACTTTGATTTTACTGCTGAGCATCATAATTTAACTAATTTTCCTGGACTTTTAGAACATATACAACTGGTTGACTTCAAATCAGACAAAGTGTACATTCCTTATCTGGGACTAAAAAGCTCACTAATTTTTGAATGTCAAAGTTGTTGGGTTGTCCAACACCCTCCACAAAAAATAAAATACTTCTGCTCTCCATAGCCTCTCTAGTTTTATTACAATGTAGAAAAGGATCTAGCATCTTTGTATGCAAGCATTCAGTAAAGAACAACCAAGTGAAAGTCCTGAACAAAACCAAAGGAATTAATAAAGACTACTACATGGTCAATTTGTCATTGACCATGACAAATGAAAGAATTGCTATGTAGGTGTCATCAAGTGGCAACATTATTATTAAGCTAATTAYTGACAGGTACCCTTAAGCCCATGTTATTTATCTTCTGGATGCTGACATGTTAATGTTAAACATTACAAAACTAGCACATGTAAAGTTGAAATTAGATTTCAAAGAAATTCAAACACAGAAAGATACAGAGAATTGTATCTAACTAAAATTAACAGTCGATCATCAATTAAAATACCATTATCACATGACAAGGAGTGAATGCTCAGTCTTCAATTAAATTGCTTTTTAAGTACATACTTGATTGTAAGCTCCCTGAACACATTTCATGCTATAATTTACCAATATAAAATGTAAGAATTAACGTAAAATTGCTAAACCTATGAGCCATCTAGATCGGTTTTTTCTTTTTGATGGATACAAAACTCAGGTATTTTCAGAGGCAAATAAATTAATTTTAGATTAATACACATTAGGGTGACAAATTCAAAATACATTTGGTCATTACAGGATATAGATTTATCTTACTTGCTGAAGTATGCATCTTCAGATCTCTTCCATAAATCATTKACATAAAAAGAACTCTGTTTCCATATAAATAGGTATTGCAAATGTCTTTAGTCTTGATCAGTTTAAAAATTACAAGATCTTCTAATTTGTAACTGTTACTYRTGTTACCTATAYGATTTTGKTTTTTTTAATCTTWTTGCAAATATATCCATTTAAATACYGAACACCAWGTAATTTTTTCTTCACTAATATCCCAARGGGTTTATTTACAGAACTGTGTCATCTGTTTGCTTTGTATGAAGCCCTGAAAAGCCAGCACTCCCCCCTCTTAGGATTTCAGAGGCTGAGAAAGACTTTACGACTCCTTCAGGGACTCCAATGAACAAATGCAGAATAAGTCTTGAACACACAGAAATCACATGGGAAAAATAACTAGAGATAAGAAACATGTTTTTTTTGTCCATATATAACTTTACACTGTGGGTGACATCAAGCAATCCTCCACACCAATACCACTTCCTCCTTACAAAAGGTTGTAGGACCAACGTACCCAAGGTTCTTAGGTTGGTAAAGATCAAATGACTAAGTACCATAAAGCACAAACTGTCAAGAAATCAGTAAAGGCGCTCTAGCTGCAGCAGGTCTACAGATGCTAAGAACAGAGACATCCTAGAGACAGACTATTAATGTCACCTGAGATAAGATTAAGTGTGTTCCACCTGTCAGAGCAATTACAYTGCTGTACCACACAACTGAGACAGTTACTACATGTAACCACCAATTCCCAATTTGTACCACTGCCTACAGAAATTATTAAGGAGATTTCCTGGAAGTTCTTACTAACTGGTAAAAGGTCAAAGCACACTTAAGTTATCCTAACAAGAGAGTCTWCTGTGATCTTTAAAAGCTTTTGAWTTTTTGCATGCTCTGGATTTKTTGCATGCTCACTTCTTCACATACATTTATATKTTTGAAGGGAGGACTAACTTGTCCAGAGACAGRCCTCTGATGAGGGAGTCWKWGAKAWA